ATAAAAAATGTCAAAGTATAGTATGTCGCCAAATTTTTTATAAAAAATGTCATAGTATAGCATGTCGTCAAAATTTTAATCTAAAACATAGTATAGTATGTCGCCAAAATTTTCATCTAAAACGTCATATTATAGTATGTCGCCAAAATTTTCATGAAAAACATCAAAGTATAGCATGTCGCCAAAATTTTCATCTAAAACGTCATAGTATGTCGCCAAAATTTTCATCTAAACCGTCATAGTATAGTATGTCATCAAAATTTCATCTAAAACGTCATAGTATAGTATGTCGTCAAAATTTTCACAAAACACGTCATAGTATAGTATGTCGTCAAAGTTTTTTTATAAAAAACGTCATAGTATGTCGCCAAATTTTTTATAAAAAATGTCATAGTATAGCATGTCGTCACAATTTTCATGAAAAACGTCATAGTATAGCATGTCGTCAAAAATTTCATCTAAAGCGTCACAGTATAGTATGTCGTCAAAATTTTTATCTGAAACGTCACGGTATAGCATGTCGTCAAAATCTTCATGAAAAACGTCACAGTATAGCATGTCGCCACATTTTTTATAAAAAATGTCATAGTATAGCATGTCGTCAAAATTTTCATGAAAAACGTCATAGTATAGCATGTCGCCAAATTTTTTATAAAAATTGTTATAGTATAGCATGTCGCCAAAATTTTCATCTAAAACATAGTATAGCATGTCGCCAAATTTTTTTATAAAAAACGTCATAGTATAGCATGTCGCCAAAATTTTCATCTAAAACATAGTATAGCATGTCGCCAAATTTTTTTTATAAAAAACGTCATAGTATAGCATGTCCCCAAATTTTTTATAAAAAATGTCAAAGTATAGCATGTCGCCAAATTTTTTATAAAAAACATAGTATAGCATGTCGCCAAAATTTTCATCTAAAACATAGTATAGCATGTCGCCAAATTTTTTTTTATAAAAAACGTCATAGTATAGCATGTCGCCAAATTTTTTATAAAAAACGTCAAAGTATAGCATGTTGCCAAATTTTTTATAAAAAACGTTATAGTATAGCATGTCGCCAAAATTTTCATCTAAAACATAGTATAGCATGTCGCCAAATTTTTTTATAAAAAATGTCATAGTATAGCATGTCGTCAAAATTTTCATCTAAAACATAGTATAGCATGTCGCCAAAATTTTCATGAAAAACGTCATAGTATATCATGTTGCCAAATTTTTTCATAAAAAACGTCATAGTATAGCATGTTGCCAAGTTTTTTCATAAAAAACGTCATAGTATAGCATGCCGCCAAATTAAAAAAAATAATGTCATAGTATAGCATGTCGCCAAATTTTTTATAAAAAACGTCACAGTATAGCATGTTGCCAAATTTTTTCATAAAAAACGTCATAGTATAGCATGCCGCCAAATTAAAAAAAATAATGTCATAGTATAGCATGTCGCCAAATTTTTTATAAAAAACGTCATAGTATAGCATGTCGTCAAAATTTTCATGAACCAAAAGATTAACTAGGGAAATACTGAAACCACAATTTATTTATTTTTTAATCAAAGTAGTCAAAGTTAAATGTCCTCAGTCAGACACTGGAATCAGACTATAAAAAATCATGTGCATCAGTTCATCACATTCAGAGGGACCAAACTCCAACTATCCAATCAGCAGCCTGCTGCCGGCCGCCTCAGCTGCTCAGTTTGTTGCCTCTACCTCGCTGCAAACAGACGACTGTACAGTTTGTGCAGTTCGGTACCTCCAAGGAAACAATTTCAGAATTAACTTTTCAATATTAAATGTGATGTGAGCTCAGAGAGAATTCCAGCATCACATCTGAAATCAGCAGGAATCACCGCAGGTCCTTCTTTCTTCCTAATAGAGTCTGTAGCCGAACAGGAAGTCTGAACATGTGGCTCGGTGGCGTGCTCTAGCTCTCAGGTGAGTAGATCTTGATGAGGTGTTGCGGCTCGGAGGGGTACCCAGTGACGGGGCAGCGGCGGTTGGCTTTGACGTACATGTAGATGCAGCGGTAACAGAAGACAAAGCCGGAGGTGGACAGTACCGTGGCGTTTGTGTGAAGCTTCTGGCACAGCGGACAGTTCCTGCTGTCGGAGTCGAGCTGAGTTTCTTTGTTGTGATTGGCCGAGCTGGATGAAGAGTCCTGCTCCTGCCGCAGGTGGAGGGGGGGCGGAGGAGCCGGCAGGGAGGTGAGGGCCTTCACGGTGCTCTGGTTGTCTGAGGAGTACCACCACTCCAGGAACTGGAGGAAGAAGACACCCAGTGACAGGGAGGTGGAGAGGGACACGGCCACGCCACGCGCTGCTTGTGACATCAGCCACCACGCTCTCTGCACCAGGCTGCAAACAGAGGCACAATGCATTATGGGTGATGGATTTAAGTTCTTTGTCTGACACTGGGAAGAACACTTACTACACATATTCTTCACCTAAACTTGTCTTTGTTTCACCTCGAGGGACAGTCCACCCAAACTCAGAAATACGTCTCCTTCCAGTAATCCATAGACCTTGTTGTGAGCTGTTTCACATAGGAACTATTCCCTTGTGTATCATCACGCCAGTGTTAATGTTGTTGATAAAAACTATGATCGTGCTATGTAGCGTGTGAAATAGAGTGTGGTGAATGTGCTAGGAAAGGTAGTATCAGCACTGCTTCTACCTGGAGCTCGCATGTACGGAGCCTGGGTTTGGTTGAAGGTGGCAGTGCTGTTTGGGCTGAGAAAGCCATGTGTAAGTAAGGTAAAGGAGGTTATTGGGTTGGTGCGGGGAGCAGTGAGACCTGGCATTAGGGGAGTGTCTCTGGGACGCCAGAGATCACTGTCTAGCCTCCTGGAGGTGTCGTGGGACCAACTAGACAAAACACCGGTGAAAGGAGGTTCCCACCTGATGACCCCAAAGACATGTTAGTTATCACTGCTCACTGGTCTGTATAGTTAAGCCTTGCCATTATGCCATTAACAACTTTTTTCAGTGTTACGAAGACGGGATGTTGACAAGTAAAAAATAGATCGTGATATTAAAAAGTTTGATGAAATGTAAGTTTCAGTGGACTATCGCCGGCATGGAGGCATAAAAACATGTTGACTGTAAGGAATAGCTAAAAGTTGACTAAAACTATGGAGGATAAAATAAATAAAATATGACTAACACTTAGAAGTATTGTTTGTCTTAAGACTTAAGGCATTTGCAAACTGAGTCCGTTTTCTTTTTTGTCCAAAACTGTTGCACGTCTAAAGATAAATAAGACGTCTCTGTGTCATGTTCGCACACTGAGTCTGAAACTTTTGTCCGTCATTAAAAATTTTGGAGCAAGTTCAATTTTCTGTTTTTCTCCTCCATCAGAGTCTTTAGAGACGTTTGACCAAGACTCAGTGAAGATAATACAGCTGAGACGAGGAAGAGGAAGAGACAGAGGAACAGAATCATTTCATAACTCAGACAGATACGTTCAAAATCCAAAATGGCTGCCAAAATTAACACTGCACAGTGCAGAAGGAAGAGTGCATCTACTGCTAGCTCACCTAGCGTCACTAAGCTAGCTAACATTACAGCTCGGCCAAGGAGGACGCCATTAATGTTTACAACTCATGCTGTCACAAGCATCTCGTTCATGAGCAAACGCTTCCTTCTGCGCAGTGATACAGTTTGCGGGTGTAGTTTGGTGGAAAGAAAGTAGTTCCTACATGAAACTGCTCAAAACACGGTCTGTGGATTATCTTGAGTTAACGGGTCATTATTTCTGCAAAGAGACATTGATGTTGAGTTTTTCAAATGGATTTTTTTGGCACTTTGAGCACCACAAACCGAGTGACATCTGGTCCCATTACACCGGAGAGAAGGCAGACGTCTCTACGGACGATATCTCCAACACTTGACGACTCACACCAAAACTATCTGACTGACAAACAGGTAAAACAGGTGAACTGTCCCTTCAAAGACAGATGATTGGAGAAGGTGAGAACACTGAGTGTGTTAAATCTGAGACGCACCTCCCCTCCACCGGGCGTCCGAGTGTCCTGGTCTTCAGCTCCATGTCTCTGATATCTTGAATGTTAAGTCGTGCCAGTTTGACCCTGGCCAGCCACAGCAGAGGATTATGGGTCCTGGCGACTCCAAAGATAAAGAGAAGCTGCTGGCAGAAGACCCAGACCTGCCAGGCGGAACTGACGTACGGGTATGCAGCCACGGCTGCCCGGTACAGCCTCTGGCCCCGGCTCTGCGCCAGCCGGATGGAGAAGTCCTCTTCGTCCCTCTGCCGCGCCAGCGTCGCCTCCAGCTTGGCCCGCAGGTACGGCGCCAGGCACAGAAGAAGAAGAGAGCGCCACTGTGACTTCCTGTCCAACCCCAGGCGATCGGGAAGTACTCGCCTTCCTGAAACTCTCTTCAGGCCGTAAAAGTTCTCAGAGAAGGAGGCGCTGCAGTGAGACAGGAAGTGGTTTTGGAGGAGAAGGTCCAGCACCAGGTAGAGCTCATCAAAGTGTCGCCACAGGAAGCCGAAGCGGGACGGGCTGGACTCTGCCAGAACCTGGAATGAGTCACAAACACGAGAGGAGTTAAGGTGCAGACACACCAAACCGACATCAAAGAACTAGTGACGACGAAAGCCAACTGTTGTGTCATCTACGTCGCCCTGTGTCAGTTGCATTTGAACACACTACACGGACTACATCCGACGGCCAAGTAGCACGTACGTTCTGCGCCTGCGTGAGAGAGAGCGGAGTGAGAGAGTGGTACATCCTGTCAGCCGAGGGGTTTCCTATCTGTGCAGCCGAGCACCGCAGCACCTCCACGGACTATTACATCCAGACGGTCCCGGTGTTTCCTCCGCAGGCTCCACTTCACTCAGCTGCCCGATAAACCCGCTGCTTCTTCCCACTTTAACCTGAATAACAAACCAGGGCTCGGTGCTCCGGTTGGATCCAAACGGAGAGCCGGGGCTAGCTCAGAGACTAGCGGAGGCTAACTGGCTGTGCTTCCCTCCGGTCATGCTGCGGCTAACGCTCCGCTAGCCGCTCCCAGCTAGCTCCGGTTTGTTATTCAGGTTAAAGTGGGAAGAAGCAGCGGGTCTGTGGGGCAGCTGAGTGAAGTGGAGCCTGAGGAGGAAGCACCGGTTAGCCCCGGTTTCACTACAGGCAGATTCACTCGCTACAGGGGCGAGGAAATAAAACCTGAACAGCCAATCAGAGTGATCTCTCTCACCGACAAGCTCCACCGCCGATTCAACATGCTCAATCGGCTGAAAAGCCGCAGACGCCAAAGTGCCGACGGTGTGGGACACACCGAAAAACTAGGCTGACAGGTGCTCACAGACGGCCCGACTTTGGTCGACAGCCGACCGTTGGCTTGGTGTGTCAGGACCTTAAGAAACAGGGCTGAAGTTTATTTGTAGAGCAACAATCAGGGTCGAACGATGAATCACATGATGACCTCCGTCTCTGTTCAGCCCAGCTCAGTTTTCTGTGACGATTCTGTGGCGTTTCTATCAGATTCATTACACCAGCACAAACACTACTAATTTCTCCATAAGCTGCATCAACACATGAAAAGTGTGCATGTTGCTCCGCTGTGCATATATTCATCGAATGAAATTTTTTTTTTTATCAGAAACAAGAAAAGTTAAAACCCAGCGATGGTGCTGAGGATCAGATACTTTCTTCGTCATGTAGTGGTGTCTGCTCTAACTTTAAAGTGTCAGTCGAGGCAGAAATATGATAAAACACATTTTGAAGACGAACAACAGAGTCATACATCAGTCTGTTTTTATCATGAACAGTGTGACCCTACAGATGGTCTGTTCATATTTCAACACGGACACTGACAGCTGCTGACGAGCCATGTAGACAGCAGACGCTTCTATTTGTGTTCAAGAGTCACAACTCTCTTCAGTAAGTTTTCCCTGAACTCAGTGTTTCATCATTTTATCCTGTCAGACATTTGTGCCAAGTTTGGTCAGAATTAGTATCTGAATGAAGGTGAACCCTCGCTCACCTTGACAGCGTGTCTCAACGCCGGTCGGACCGCCTCCATCAGAGACTCCTGAGCCAGGACCTCAAAGATGGACGGCTGCTCGTTGGCAGCGGAGGAGGTCAGGTGGGCTCCGGCCTCGGCCATGGCTGCTGCAGAACAACAACACAAGAGGACAAGCAGTGAAACACTCAGAGGAAAGGCGTTTAGGTTTGTCTCTCTCATTATGTTCAAAACTAAGCGTGGATTTTTCTGACAGATCAAACTCTTACCACTGTTTTTATTCTAGTTTTATTTTCATAATGCCCAAAATCATGCATTTTGTTTGCACTTTTTAAACTGGTCCCACATGATGAGAGAAAACAGAAAAAAGGGACTGTTGCATTTGCTTTTTTGACACAGGAAACTACACGGCAGCCAGTCAGAAACCAACGATGTTACTACAGACATCTGGGCTGAGAAATAAGAAACGCAGCAGCAGAATCAGGGTATCTGCAGGTTTCAGTAAGTTAAATTTAATACTTTTTGAGACCTTTTTAATGCCACCTTGAATGGAATTTAAGACCGAAAAAACTAGAAATATAAGCGATGGTTGGGGGATCCCGCTGTACTATAACCAGTGCTTTGTAAAATTAGAAGTGGGGGAACACTTTTTTAAGCAGCACCAGAGCTGCTTCACTGCGCAACTCCAAATGGAATGGTTGTGACATCTAGTGTTGTCACGGTACCAAAACTGGGACCCACGGTACGATACCAGTGAAAATATCATGGTTCTGAGTAGTATCAGGATACCACAACGAAAATGAGGCAGATGTGCCTTTTGTCATTTATAAAAAGATAAATCACTTTTCTATAATACATCAATGATATTTCAATGGAATAAATTACTTATTGACTTATTCATACTTCAAAAACAGCATCAATAAGTGATTAACATAGGGGGGATCAAAATAAAATAAAAATCAACCAGCCACCCTCCTCTCCTGACAAGTAAAGAACAGTCCCTTCATAAGTAAATAACAGTCCCTAAAGTGCGGTGAGGTTTGTGGACCATTACCTGCCACAGAGAGAAATATGAACAGCAGTCATGACGCCAACAAAAGAGGAAATTAGGCTACTGGACCTGGAGTCGGACTTATCTGTCGCCGCCGGTAAGCCGTTATTTTGCGCCGCAGAGCCGCCGTAGGCTATTTGACCACCATGTTCCTCTCTGTGACCCCCGTTCAACCCACAACCTGCATGATTCGCCTTTCGTTTCTGCTGCTGGTTGAAATCCGAATGATTTATTTTGCTAGCACAAAACTATTTTTAGTTGCAAATGCGAGTAAAATGCTCGCACGTAGAGCTCTGTGGAAAACAAATCACTGCCGACAAGTAAAAAGTCGTAAATAATAACTTTCACTGCTCAAAGATACTCACGTCTGGAAAACAAACCACTACGGCAGCATATTGAGTGCCAGGTGGCCAGCACGCGCCGTTAAGCCCTTTTCACACAGAGCGCGCAAAGCGCAGACCTCCGCCGACGAACCCATTCATTGTGTATGTGCTAACATCAGCGCGCGTCGTTATTGGACGGCACATGGACACTCACAGAAAAGTGCCGCGAGAATAAAAAAAAGAAAAGAAATAAAATCAGATTAAATATTCCTTCCGCAACAATTTTAAGACCTTTGAGTAATGAATTTAAGACCAATTTGAGACATTTCTAATGAATTTAAGACGTTTTCAGGCCTTACTTTTAGATACATGAATTTAAGACTTTTCAAGGATCCGCGGGTACCCTGAGAATCTTGGTTTATATTTGATCATAGTTTTGCTGTTTTCAACAGATTTTTTTCAGCTTCCATTTTCTCAACAAAGGAAACAGTATGGCGCCCACTTCCTGTTTACACCTGATGAATATTTATCATATATTACACTTTATTTAAAGTCCACAGACACAAAATCAGCCTTAGTTCGTTTTTCCACTGTTTCAACAATCACCAGCTCTGATTTGGTTGAAATAAACATTTAATTCAATTATAGGTTGTGTTTTAAATTATGTCTCTGAAGGCAAACTGTGTCAACATCTGTTTTATATAATAAGATACAGTTTCTAACTTTCATCATTTTCAGTGCAGCAAAATGTTTCTAGCAGGCTGGAAAAGAAACTGATTTTATTATTAGAGTAAGCTACCAAACGTTTAATTTGTTTCTGCAATATTAGTATTTATTATTAATATAATCTAAATTATTATTATATATTTCCCCATCCCTGCTGTGTAGTGCTATGATATTTAAATTGATGGTTATCGTACCATGTACATTTGCTTATCTAAAAATATGCAGATTGACAGAGAATCTCTCCTTTGAGTTATTTGTACACAAACTTCATTAACAAAATGTTTCAAGGTTCAGTTTTTATTAATAAAACGTGTGTTCAACCAACAATAACCTTTCTGTTTTCTTTAAGGGTCATTCTGACTGATAATGATAATAATTCTGTGATACCATGAAACTGGTATTTGTTTAGGTTGCTGTACCGTGTAAGTCTCTCACTGTTGCATCATCACTACGTAATTAGCAGTTCATTTTAAGGTAATGAAAACACAGTGGTTTATATTTTCAGGTGATTTTAACCTAAAGACATAGTTGTGCATTTTACATTCTATTTCTGCCAATATATCCCTTTATATTCTGCACATTAGACCTTTAAATAATATGTTTAATTCAGTAGTTTAACCTGTAACAGAGCATTTTCACACTGTGCTGTTGCTACTGCTGCAGAGCAGGTTAAAGTTCACTGAGCTTTATTTAACTCCGTGTTTAAACAAACCAGGTGACTTCAAGAACAGCAACCTTTGAGTTATTAAGATGTAAAAGTTAAACAACAAAAGGTAACGTTGAGACAGATTTAAATGAAGCTAACACACACATTAATATCTGATTTATTTCTGTGGTCAAACTAAGACAACATAAACTTTACCTTCCTCTGCTAGCTGCTAGCACTGATGCTAGCTGCTGCTTCGTGACGTCTCTTCCGGCTCCGTCACTTCACACGGTCATTTAAAACCACCGCGTGTTTCTGTGAACATTAAAACATCATCACAAACACAGACTCATCATGTGTTCATGTGTTCATCTGGACTTAACCTGCCGCCATGCTGAGAGCTCTGCACACATACCAACACTTCCGCATTCACATGCTGTTCTTCCGCTTCCTCTTCTTCTCTGGTTTCTAATGGCGGTAGGCACCCGCAAAGCTGCATTACCGCCACCTATTGGATTTACCCTGAAGTCTCCATTTTATTAAACACCCAAATTACCCATGATGCAGTGCGAACTACAGTTTTTTGACTGTAACAACAGACTGGTGGTTTGTGGTAAATAACTGTAGAAATTACACTGATGTCTGACACGTCACCAGAAGTCCCAGCAGAGCCTTCTGTACAATAAAGTTAAAAAAAAGTGTTTCACAGTGACATCACACTAACGCTCCACACAGGTTCATAAATATGAGCTGCAGATTCTAATAATCACAATCTGATTTGGAAGACAGACACACAGAGTTCAACTAATAAATATTTATTTCCGTGGTGATTTTTGACACTTTTGGAAAAACATAGGTTAAGATCACCACTCTGACAGACAAATACAGTTACCTGCCTAAACTCAAAGCTTTGTTTTATAACACACAACATCTAAAAATGATTGGATTTTGACATGGATATATCAGGAGACCTGGCCCTGTCATATTATGCAGCAGAATACTGTGCCCCTGTCTGGTCCAGGTCGCCACAAACACCCCACATAGACACCCAACCTAACTCCACTGTGTAAATCATAACTGGAACTATTTGTTGAACACCGCTCCCCTGGCTCCCTGTCCTATCTAACATACCCCCCCCCCCCACATCAGATGAACTGAACTCACCTATAGGATGCTCCAAAAGGTCAACGACTCCCCCCATTTACCAATCCATGCCAACATCTTCAACCCACCACCTGCTCGTCTCCGATCTAGACTTCCAATTTGGAAGGACCCCCCACCCACTGACTTTGCCGCCCTGTCTGCCTGGGTGACTGAATGGGACTCCAAAGACACCCCAAACAAACATCTAGTGTCAGACCCGACTCAACCAGTCTCTGCACCAGCCTCCCAAGGAGACAGTGGTCCATCTTGAACAGATTTAGGACTGGTCAAGGTCCCTGCTTGGCCAGCCTCCACAGATGGGGGAGCAGCTTGAGCCCACTGTGTGCTTGTGGAGAGCAGCAAACCATGGAGCATATTATTGAAGCCTGCCCTCTCCAAAGACTAAAAGGAGGTCTAGTCTCCCTCCACAGTATAGATCAAGAGGCTACTGCTTGGCTTGAGAAATTTGCATTTGCTAAATAAATAAAAGTGGCACATGAAGCCAAAAAAGCCCAGTTTCTGCAGTATGAAATTACCAGAATCTTTCACATTGTGGGGCCCATAGAGAGGTGCAGGTATGAGCCTTAAAACCTGGAACTGAGTTGTCATTTTTACACTCCTGTGATTCAATTCAATTCAATTCAATTCAATTCAATTCAATTCAATTTTATTTATAAAGCCCAATATCACAAATCACAATTTGCCTCACAGGGCTTTACAGCATACGACATCCCTCTGTCCTTAGGACCCTCACAGCTGATCAGGAAAA